TCACCAAGTAGTCAGAGATAGTAGAAATTCTTCCTCTGGTTTCTTAACTAAAGAATGTTTAAGGCTCTTACATAAATTTTCACATCCGTTGGGAAAAGTTTTGGTCAGGTGAGGTTAATATTAACCAAAATTTGCAGGAGAAACGGCCATGAGTCCTAAACAATAAAAGTAAATAAAAAATTCTTACACAACACAGGGCTTGATTCACTTGTTTTCTTTGTATGTTCTGTATCTAGCAAGATGCCTGATGGTATTAGTAAGTGCTTAATAAATGCTTGTCGATTGATTGATAAGAGACATAGATGAGTCATGGAAACAAAAATAACTAAATACAATGCCACAGGTATATAGGAGGTATAAACTTGAGCTATGAACTTCAGAAGAGGGAGAAATCACTGAAGGTAGGAAGCAAAGAACCACTGCTGATACTTAGGGAGGGCTTCATGGAAAAGGTGGCATTTGAGCAAATGCCTTATAGGGTGAGTAGGTTTCTTAGCATTTGCTCAAATAATTCGGTCCTCACTTTGTGTACTGAATCCTCTATACAATGTACCATGAAGGTTAAAAAAAGATTACGATATGGTCTCTGTCCTCAGGGAGTTTATAATTTATTGAATGTGGAGAAAAATTCCAGAAGTTGGAAGGAGTGTGAAGAAATATGTAAAGATGGAAAAGAAAAACAAAACAAAATAAAAACAAACAAACAAAAAGCCATGCTCAGGAACAGTAATTTCCCTGAGTTTGGTTGGAGTGAGTATAGGTTTCTGAAGGGGAATAGTGGGAGATAAATCTAGAAAATTAGACTGACACCTAATTTAGGAAAGCCTTGAGTATTTGACAAAGGCTAATTTGAGCTTTATGTGGTAGGCAAAGAGAAATCCCTAAGAGTTTTTGAACAAGGGTGTTTCTTGAGAGCAGAGACCGAATCTTTAGTTTGAACTTTTCTCTGCTCCCAATATGGTGTCCTGCACTTAGTAGGCACTGATGGAATAGTATGATTCTGTAAGAGTAGCTTAAAGAATGTTAAAGCTCAGAGTGAGCTGAGGCTATTGAGAAAAACTAAGCTCAGCTATGAAAAAAACAGTCTCTTGACCTCCAGCCTCATTATTTTAGGGGAAACAGTAGGATCAAAGAAAGCATCAACAATGGTACAAGGTAGAGCTGCTCACTTCTTATTTTGCTTCTCTTTTCTCAGCCAAGGACAATAGTCTTTGGATAAAAAGAATTGAAGAAAAACAGTTAATAGTTTGTGGATATCCAGGATAAGTATGGATATAGTTAGCTGCCCTTGAGAAGTTCAAGTCACCAGGCTTAGGCCAACTACATGCTCTAGTACTGAAACAACTGAAGGAAATAATTATGGAGCCACTGACAGTGATCTTTGAAAGATCAAGGAAATTTTTTTTTTAGTTTATATTACTTTATTTATTTTTAGTTTTCAACATTCATTTCCACAAGATTTTGAGTTCCAAATTTCCTCCCCATCTTGTCCCTCTCCTCACCTCAAGATGGCATGCATTCTGAATACCTCTTCCCCTAATCTGCCCTCCCTTCTATCCCCCCCCTTATCCCTTTCCCCTTCTATTTTTCTGTAGGGCAGGATAGATTTCTATATCCCATTGCGTGTACATCTCATTTCCCAGTTGCATATGAAAACAATTTTTAACATTTGTTTTTAAAACTTTGGGTTCCAAATTTTTCCCTTCCTCCCTCCCCACCTACCCTCATTGGGAAAGCAAGCAACTCAATACAGTTATACATGTGTAGTCATGCAAAACATTTCCATAGTAGTCATGTTGTGAAAAACTAACTATATTTCCCTTCATCCTATCCCTCCCCCCGTTTATTCTATTCTCTCTTTTGACCCTGTCCCTCCTCAGAAGTGTTTGCTTCTAATTACCCCCTCCCCCAATCTGCCCTCTATCATTCCCCCCATCACTTTCTTCCCATTTTCCTGTAGAGTAAGATAGATTTCCATACCCAATTGAGTGTGTATATTATTCCCTCCTTAAGATAAATCTGATGAGAATAAGATTCACTCACTCCTTCTCACCTTCCCACACTTCCCCTCTACTGTAAAAGCTTTTTCTTGTCTGTTTTATGTGAGATAATTTACCCCATTCTACCTCTCCCTTTCTCTTTCTCCCAGTATAATCCTCTCTCACCCCTTATTTTCATTCTCCAGACATCACCCCTTCATCTTCAACTCACCCTGTGCCCTCTGTCTATCTACTTATACATACATATACTTTTTTTCCCTCCAACTACCCTAATACTGACAAAGGTCTCATGAGTTACAAATATCATCTTTCCATGTAGGAATGTAAATGGTTCAACCTTAATAAGTACCTTATGATTTCTCTTTCCTGTTTATCTCTTCATGCTTCTCTTGAGTCTTGTATTTGAAAGTCCAATTTTCTATTCAGCTCTGGTCTTTTCATCAAGAATGCTTGAAAGTCCTCTCTTTCATTGAATATACATTTTTTTTCCTCCTGAAGGATTATACTCAGTTTTGCTGGGTAGGTGATTATTGGCTGTAAAAGATCATGGAAATGTTTTGCATGACTATACATGTATAATCTAGATCAAAATGCTTGTCTTCTCAAAGAAGGAAGAGGAAGGAAGGGAAAGAATTTGGAACTCATAATTTTAAAAAATGAAAATTTTTTGTTTATATGTAATTGAGAAAAAAATAAAATAACAATTAAATGGAAAAAAGAAAGATCATGGAAAATGGGAGAGATACTGAAAGACTGGGCAGCTAGGTGGTACAGTGGATAGAGTGCTGGGCTGGAGTCAGGAAGACTCGTCTTTGTGAATTCAAATCTAGCCTCAGACACTTACTAGCTATGTGACCCTGGGCAAGTTCCTTATCCCTGTCTACCTCAGTTCTTCAACTATACAATGACTTGGATAAGAAAATGGCAAACCACTCCAGTATCTTTACCAAGAAAACCCCAAATGGGTTCACAAGGACTCAGACATGACTGAAACAACTGAACAACAGTAACAGCAAACTGAAAGGCCAGAGAAGGGCAAATATCATAATCTTCCAAAAAAAAGAAGACGATGGAGTCTATAAACTATAGGCCAGTGAACTTGACTTTGAATCTTGGCAAAATTTTAGAACGTATAATAAAAAGTACAGAGAGTGAACCATTGTGAATCTATAAAAACAAGTGGTGATCTCCAAGAGCCAGTACAGCTTCATCAAGAACAAATCACCCCAGACTAGCATTATTTCTTTTTTAAAAGTGGGGTTACTAGACTGGTAGATCAGGAGAATGCTGTAATATTTACTTAGATGTTAGCAAGACATTTGACAAACCCACACACTATTCTTGTGGAAAAGGTGGACAAATATGGGCTAGATGAGAATTCAATTAGATTGATTTGGATGTGGGAGACATTATAATTTGATGTTAACTTAGGAGGAGGTCTCTAATGGAGCTCTCTAGGGATCTGGGTTTGATCCTCTGCTATTTTATAAAAAACTTGGATAAAAGAACAGACCATATGCTTTATATTCATAGGCAACTCAAAGTTGGTAGGGATGACTGACACACTGGGTGACAAGAGTTACAATTAAAGGGGAAAAAAAAACAAAATAGAACATTGAGCTACATTGAAAAGATGAAATTTAATAGCTACAAATCAGTCAGGCAGCCAACCAGCATTTGTTTAGTACCTACTATATGCCAGGCACTGAGATAAGTGCTGGGGAGACAATCCCTGCTATTGAGTTCACAGTGCAATGGGAGAAATAATATGCAAACATCTGTATACAAACAAGATACATACAGAATAAATCAGAGATAATCAACAGAGGAAAGGCACTAGTCACACTAGGGTTTAAAATATCAGGTATACAAATGCTGGATGGTAGAGGTATGGCTAGACAGCAGGTCATCTAAAAAAGATGCAGAGATTTTAGTAGACTATAGTGTAATATGGCAGCCAAGAAAGAAAATACAATATCTTAGGGTGCATTAACAGAATGTGTCTGGGACCAGAGAGGTGACCATTTTACCATTCTCTGACTTCATTGAGCCACAACAGGGGTGTTATTTTTAGTTATTAATGCCGCATTTTCGAGAGAATATTGATAAGCTGGAGAGAATCCAGAGGAGAGCAGTCAGGATAGTGAAAGATCTTGAGGCCATACAAATGAAAATCAGCAACTGGGGATGGTTTGCTTGTAGAAGAGAAGACTTAGGGGGACATGATAGCTATCTTCAAGTATTTGCAGGACTTTCACCTGGAAGGAAGATTAGGCTTATTCATATAGGTCCAGTACTAATATTGCTTCATTGTCTATGATGCTTTTTATCAAAATGTAGTTACCCTGTTTCTCTTTTAATTTAATCTATTTTAGCCATAACACTGTGTGAGATTATAATTGCTACCCCTGCCTTTTTTTTTCTGCATCAGTTGAAGCATAATAAATTCTACTCCAACCCTCCATTTTAGCTCTGTGTGTGTCTCTCATTTTTAAATGTGTTTCTTGTGAACAACATATTGTTGGATTCTAATTTTTAATCCATCCTGCTATCTGTTACTGTTTTATGGGTGAGTTCATCTCATTCACATTCAAAGTTATAATTACTATAATGCAGCTTGGTACCAGACCACAGAAATAAGAGCACCTTGTGGAAGTTGCAAAGAAGCAAATTTAAGCTTGATATCAGGAAATACTTCCTAACAACTAGAGCTTTCCAGAAGTGGAATAGGATGCCTTGGAAAGTAAAATTCTATAAGAAAAGCCTGGTTGGCTTCTTATTAGGTATGCTGAAGAGGAGATTCATATTTAGAGATGAGTTATAGAACTATATGGCCTCTAAAGTTCCTTCCAACTCAGATCTTGTTATTCTGTGAATACACATCTGTTGAATGAATACATCTTCTACTGGGCAGCATTTTATTCCACTGAAATATATGATTCACTTAGACTTAAGATTTGTCACACATTGTAATGTAATATATTTCCCTCTCTTTTTCAGACCTGTTCTTGTACCTGTTAGAAAAAGAAGCTGTTTAGAGCCATGGGTTATTGGCTTAATCACCTTTATATCCCTGATTGTTCTGGCAGTGTGCATTGGACTCATTGTTCATTATGTAAGATACAGTAAGTATCAATTGTGTTTTTTTTTCCAAGTTGTTTTAGATTTGCTCTTTTAGTTCCATAATTCAAGCTGTTTATGAGTAAGCCTTCCTTGAATTTTCATCACTCCATGCATTGTTTATAGATTGGTACTTCCTGTTGGGAAGGCTACTAAAGACCACAGTAGCTCATGTCCTCCAGTTTTTGTCATTCACAGACATCAATTAAGACTTAAGAGGCAATGTGGCATTGTGGACCTGGCCTTAGATTCAGGAAGGTCTGTGTTCAAAGCCCACCTCTGACACCCACTGATTGTGTGATCCTATATGAGTCACTTAAACATTATGCGGCCACACATAACTTTATAAGATTAAAAATTGCTGAACAGGTGATGATCTGCCTTGATAGAGGGAGTTCCCCCACTGGGAGTTCCCAATACCAATGAAATCATAGGTCTGGATACTCTTCCCCCTAAGCCCCCTAAAAGTAAGGTTTAAATTGGAAGAGTGAAACATAACAGAATTTGAGGTCTAATGCCCTGAACTCTCCAAAGGTGTAGAAAAATCTGCCTCTTAAAAAACCCCAATATATTTAAAATTCTGACATTAAATAATTTAATGACACCCCAGACATTACAGAGAAGGAGTAGGCAAGGGAGGCAATAAGCATTTATTAAGCCCCTACTATATGCCACACACAGTGCTATGCAGTGGGAATACAAAATAAACAAAAAGATTGTCCCTGACCTCAGGGCTAGAGTATGCACAAAAGGGAACTGAAAAAGGAGATGGGAGGTACTTATGAGTGTTGAATGTCTGGTAAGTCAGAAGCAGCAAAACCAAGAGGAAAATGAAGGATGGATGTAACCTGAGATTTCTAAATGGAGACTCTAGGAGGAACTCATCAATGAGAAAAGGGGGCCAGCATGGCAGAGCAATATTTCAGGGTGAGAAGGTCCCAGGAGTTGAGCAAAGTTTCAGGGTAGTCTCTATTCTGTTTCTGTAATGAAGTGTTAATATTGGCCTATTTTTAAATGATTTTTCCATCACTATTCATTAAAAACTCTATCTTGTCCTATAGACCACTAAAGGAAATTAAAGAGGATGAAATGTATTAAGAAGGGCATTTCTGAAGAGATTGACTATAATTCATAGGTTCCCAAAGTGGGCAATACCACCCCGTGGGGGGTGCTGGAATGATCCAAGGAGGTGGTAATAGTCTCAGGTGCAACTGGGGGGCATTGAATAAAAATAAGGAGAGCAGTGGAAGCATAAGGAGAGAAGAAAATTTTGAAAAAAACATCTGTACATGTTTCATTTTTTGTGTAATAAAGTAAAAGTTGTAGTGATTACATTATTTTCCAAATAAACACACAAAATGCAAGTTATAACCAATCAATGGTCAAGTCTGTTGACAGGTCATAACAAGGAAGGGTTGGCAGGTGAATGTGTTGTGCATTATCTGGAAGTTCAGCATACATTGGCAGTCATATGTGCATGCAATGACTTGTTTACAATACAATACTATATGGTTACATGATGCAATATCAATCAAAATTTCAATGCCAGGAAAAACCACACAAATTAACAATAAATTATTAAATTTAAGATGCATCATTTAAAAATATTATATATTTTTGAAATGATGCAAATTAAAAAAAAACCATTAAAGGGTTAAAGAAAGTAGATTTCCAAGGGGCACTGAGTACTTTTCTTTTTGGAAAAGGGGGTGGTAGACCAAATAAGTTGGGAACCTCTGGCGCAAGGGTTACAGAAGGCTACATGTGGGTGGCCTTAAGGCCGCAGGTTCCCCACTCATGTGTCTGGGCTATATTATGGTCAGGTACTTCACTGAAGAAAAAATCAAGGGTTCCTATGATATTAGGATGGTCCTGAGTGGTCCTGCAGACATGTTCTTTCAAGGTGGAATAATTTGTGAAATTAATAGACATATAGAATGTTAGGATATATAAAACATTAGGACCATACATCTCATCCAATGAACTCCCCACCTCCCTCACTTCATTTTATAGATGAGGAAAACAAGGCTCTGCTTCATTTCAACTAATGAAAAAGAGAGTTGTTCTCCTGAAGCAAATGATTTGGTAGAATGACCTGGGACTAGATTTTTCTTCTCTCACCCTTCAGTATATAATCAAATTGGTTAGATTTTAATGGGTTCTCTTTGTTGGTGTTAGAGGTAATCCTAATGGTAGCATTCTCTTAGTTTAGATTTGATACTGGAATGGAATAAGGCACTCACAAGTCATAGAACAGTTAAACAAAAGGAGGTTTACTTTACCCTAACTCAGCAAAGATATGCAAGAAGGATACAGTGGTCCTTAGCTTCTCTATATATTGTCCTCTTTCTCTCTACATGTAAATGAATCCTGATCAACAGGGTACAGTGACTTTTGTAGGCTTCAGAAATGGACCAATTTGAAAGAGCCCTTACCCCACCTGGGTGAGATTTTTTATGCCCTTAGATGACCATGAAGCTGCAGTCAGGGCAGCAGAGGCCAAATACTTCCAAGGCATAACTTTGTCTCTTTTTAGGGAAAATAAATCCTTGCTTCTGGAAGTAAGGAGGAGACATGGGCCACCATGTTGTGGGGAAACACTGATAGATGTTAGTCTTATTATGTGGAGAAATTGATTTCCTGACAACAAAAGAAAGCAGAATAGCAACCTGCTATTCTCAGGTAAAGCAGAGGCTAGGGTAGCTAAGTGGCTCAGTGGATAGAGCATGGGGCCTGGAGTTAGGAAGACCTGAGTTTAAATCCAGCCTCTGACACTTACTAGGTATGTGACCATTCACTTACCCTCATCTTTGCCTCAGTTTCCTCATCTATAAAATGGGCTGGAGGAGGAAATGGCAAACTGCTCTAGTATCTTCGTCAAGAAATCTCCAAATGGGGTCATGAAGAGTCCGACATGACTGAAGAACAACAAAAGCAGGGGCTAAAGGTTTCTCAAATAATGATGTGCTTCAGGTCATACAGCTCTGTCATCAGACAGGGTTCTGAATGATTACGATTTCCATACCTAATTTCTTTTTTTTTTTTGGTGATTTTTTTTTTAGGCAATTGGGGTTAAGTGACTTGCCCAGGGTCACACAGCTAGTAAGTGTCAAGTGTTTGGCCTGAGGCCGGATTTGAACTCAGGTCCTCCTGACTTCGGGGCCGGTGCTCTATCCACTGCGCCACCTAGCTGCCCCCATCCCTACTTTCTAAACAGAGGTTTAGTGTTTATACTATTTTCTGGGTAATTTGAGCAAAATCCCAAGTGAACCCAGGGTTTTATTATTTCATTCTTGTTATTTATTTATTTATTTTGGTGGCAACAGTGCAGAGTGACTGGTCTGGAATCAGGAAGATCTAAGTTTGAATCCAACCTGAGATGTTTGCTAGCTGTGTGACCTCAGGCAAGCCTCTTAAACCCGTTTGCCTAAGTTTCCCATTTATAAAATGAGGAGAATGATAGCACCTAGGCCTCATGAGTTGGTGTGAGGATCAAATGAGATAATATTTATAAGGCACTTAGCATATTACTTGGCACACAGTAAGCACTCTATAAATGTTAACTATTGTAGTTATTGGTGTTGTTGTTGGTAGTGGTGGATCCACTCAGATAATGGCCTCAGAATTCTCAGCTTTGACCTTTTGACAGCTGAGATCTGGGCTGAAGAATGCCTAGGTTCTCTTTGTTTTTTGTAATAAGTTTTTATTGACATGTTTGGTTTTTAAATGACTTACACTTGTCAATAATGTCCAACAGTGTTTGAGATCTCTTACAGCTCTGGATCCGTGTGTGGCAGCTGTGAGATTCAAATTGAGAACATCCTTTGGAGCCTGTGTGTTCATATTTGTCTAAACGCTTCACTAGTTGAGATAAAACTATCATTTATTTATCTCTTCCAAATCCAAGCCACAGATCATTTTGCCTCCATGAAAGTTCTAAATGTGACCCAAAGCTATCCAAGAAACAGCTAATCCATTTTGTGGTCTCCAATGTAGGTAGTTTTTGCTTCTCAGATGATTCAGGTGCAACAGGGAACTTCCACTAAAGTATTTCCCTCAACAAAGGTGAGCAACATCTCACTGTACACCTGACTAAACGATGGTTGTTATGATTTTGATAACTGTGTCACGCTTGTTATCTGTCTTCTGTGTTTCAGGAGATAAACATAGGACAGACTTTAGCAGCTGACATTTAGTAAAGCAATACACAAACAGCAACAAAATACCCTGCAGAAAAACAGACATACCTAAGCCACCTTTGTTTTACTGAGGAGAATCTGCTTTCCTCTCTAAAGAATAAGGAACAAGACAACCTACTGTTCTCAGCTACGCAGGGACTAATCTATTTCGGATAATTGGGGTGTGTTTGCTGAGGTATCTAGTACTAGGGATAGAGGAGAGGCATGCAGGCATGTAATGTGACATTTTGTCTTTCATACTCTGGCTCTGTGACTGTGTGAAATTCTGGCATAATGTATATATGCCCAGTTTCTTGGTGTGGCTGTTTCTGCCACTTCTATGAGTCAAATGTGCTGTAGCAACATTAACACCAACAACAGAGTAGTCAATACACTTAGTAGTTCCATGGAATGGTTGTCAATGATAGTTCTCCGGTTCTTTCATTTGAGTGGCTGAGCCAAGGGAAATGGGGAAAGAAGACATATATGTCTGTTTCATAAAAATGACATCTGCATGTTTGGGGATTGTTTAAAGAAGTATCTTGTGCTGGAGAACAATGGATGATTATTCATGGGGTAATGAAATGCTTTATTTATAAAAATGACTAAGTAAATGATTTTTACAAATTATACACTTCCTAGCCCTTGTGAAGAAATACTACCTACCCACCTGATGATGTTACAATTAGCAATCCACTTGTGTTAATACTTTAAGTCATTTAATTGGAAGTACTGCAATTCAGGTGTAGGTAACCCTGACTGGGCCCATTTTCCAGCTCACTAATTTCCCTAAGCCCTTTCCAAGGCAAGGCAGAGATCACTGGGTCTAGTCTATAATTTTCTTTCTGGGTGTTAGAAGTCTGGAATGCCAATGGATTCACTTTTCTTTCAGTAGTGAGATGAGAAAATGCAACTTAAATAAGATAATGTAAAGAGCGAATATATATTCCATAATAAATAGAGAGCAAAGGGTAAAAATTTTAACCAACACTGAAGGGAAATACCCAAAATTTCTTTTTTTTAAACATGTATTTTTAAAACTTTGGGTTCCAAATTTTCTCCCTTCCTCCCTCCCCACCCACCCTTATTGACAAGGCAAGCAATTAAATGTAGGTTATATATGTGCAGTTATGCAAAACACTTCCGTAGTAGACATGCTGTGAAAAACTAATTCTATTTCCCTTAATCCTATCCCACCCCCCCATTTATTCTATTCTTTCTTTCGACCCTGTCCCTTCTCAGAAGTATTTGCTTCTGATTACCCCCTTTCCCAATCTGCCCTCCTCTCTATCATCCCCCTACCCACTTGTCCCCTTCCCCCCTATTTTCCTGTAGGGTAAGACAGATTTCCATACCCAATTAAGTGTGTATGTTTTCCCTCCTTAAGTCAAATCCTATGAGAATAAGATTCACTCATTCCCTCTTACCTTCCCCCGTTTTTCATTCACTGTAAGAGGCTTTTCTTTTCTGTTTTTTTTTTGTGAGATAATTTACCCCGTTCTACCTCTCCCTTTCTCCTTCTCCTAGTATAATCCTCTCTCACCCCTTAATTTTATTCTCCAGATATGATCCTTTCATCTTCAATTCACCTTGTGCCCTCTATCTATCTATCTATCTATATCTATATATACATGCATATAATTTTTTTCCCTCCAACTGCCCTAATACTGACAAAGGTCTCATGAGTTACAATTCTTCAGTATTTTTTTGGGTCTCTTTTAGCAAGCTGTTGACCTGTTTTTCATGATTTTCTTGCGTCAGTTTCAGTTTTTCCTCTACTTCTCTTACTTGCTTCTCAAAATCCCTTTTGAGCTCTTCCAAGGCCTGGGACTGATTCATATTTTTCTTGGAGGCTTTGGATGTAGGAGCTTTGACTTTGTTGTCTTCTTCTGGTTGTGTGTTTTGATCTTCTTTGTCACCCAAGTGAGATAATATAGTCTGACTCTTCTTGCACTGCTTACTCATGATCCTGGCCAATTACTTGAGTTTTAAACTCTTTGTTAAGGTAAGAGTCTGCTTCCAGTGTGGAGAATATACTGTCCCAAGCTTTGGGGGTTTGTACAGCTGTTTTCAGAGCTACTTCTAGGGACCTCTAAATTTTCAGTTCTTCCAAAGTGGTATGATAAGGCGCGAGGTGTTTCCTCTTCACCTCCGCAACAAGCTCCACCACACCAGCACTCCTTCTTGCCTCAGGACCACCCCTCAGAACTGTGACCAAGATCCAAACACAGGTAAAGCAAGAGAATCCTGCCTCAGCACTGGCAAAGAGATCCTTGCACTCCCCCTCTGATCAACCACTTGATTCCCCCTTAGTCTGTGGGCCGGATGCTCAGGAAACAGCCACAGCCCCATGCTCGAGACTTGTGGCTGAGACCTAGGTTCTCTCTCACCTAGTCACACTGACTCAGTGACCCACTGACCTTCCAAGTTGTCTTTGGCATTCCTGGGTTGAGAAGTCTGGAAACCACCACAGCTGCCCGTGATTCAGTCCTCTGAGGCCTGCTCCAGGGTCGCTGTGGCCTGCATGCCCATGCCGCACTGCACTCCTCTCCCTGCCTGGCGCAATATACCTTTACAATCAAACATCCAGGTTATCTTGGGCTGGAAATATGTTTCACTCTGTCTTTTTGTTGGTTCTGCTGCTTTAGAATTTGTTTAGAGACATTTTTTATAGGTATTTGGAGGAGTTTGGGGAGAGAGCTCAAGCAAGTCACTGCTTTCCCTCTGCCATCTTGGCTCCACCCCCCCCCCCAAATTTCTTAGAAGATATACTTATCAAAGAGCAAGGTTTAAAGTTTTAAAACCAGAATGACACATATGAATGAAAATTATAATTTAGAAGCAAAATTTGATTTTCCCTCTAGCCTTATTTGTTCTTTTAAAAATTGATACATTAATAGCATTTACATCTAGGTCCTGATGAGTACAAATAAATCCCATAAAATGGTTGAATTATTCATATGTGTACTGCATATATGCATATTTCCATTGGGCTGGGACAGTTACTGTTTTTACATAATTGTAAATTCAAATAGGGTTCAGGAAGAAAACTTGAGACCTTAAAAATTGTAGTTATGACCCATGAGTTATCTTAGATGGAAGATTGCGAAAGCTGTGCCCTCATCTAAAATATTGGTTTGTTTGTTTTGCTTCTTCTAATTAAAATATCGTTTATTTTAAAATACAAGTTAGGAACTCCAGTTGGCTTAGTAGAGATACTAAAAAAAAGATATATAACAACAGACACTATTTTCCATTCTCAACTTTTCCTAGTTGGATAAACAGAGAAGGGTATCCCCCAAGCCTAGAATGCTCTCTGACTTCCTTTAAGTCCCAAATAAATCCCACCTTTTACAGTAAGTGTTTTCCAACTAGTATGATCTTGGGCAAGTAAATTAAGTATCTCAGTCCCTCAGGCCCTGATTGGCTCAGAGTGAATGTAAATAGCAATTGTTTCTGTTTTGGCCACAAACTCTGAAGGTCTTCCCCTCCCAAATTGATTTTTTTTTGACTAGGTAAAAGAGACTATTCTTTGCCTCATCTCTAGCCTAGCCTTAATCACTGATTGGGCATTGCCTCAGTCAAACTGAGACCTATGAAAGACCTTAGCTTAAAAAGGCCAAAGCCTCACACTGTATCCAGAGTCATCTCCAGTCATCCTGATCTATAGTCATATATCTTGCCACTGGACCCAGATGGCTCTGGAGGAGAGAATGAGGCTTGGTAACTTTGCACAGCCCTCCCTCACTTAAATCCAATTCATTTGCATGTCATGGCATCACCTTCTTGATGTCAGGGTCCTCTTTGAGAATGAAGCACAAACAACCCAATAGTTCTTTAAGACTGTAATTTGTAGAGTAGGTACTGATACAGTATGACAGAGGGAGTTCTCTCATCAAGATTTCCTTTACCAATGAAATCACAGATCTAGTCTCTCTTAAGTCTACCTCCACAGGGAAAGATTTCTTTCACTCAATATTCAAAACAGTATCACTCAGGCTTTGAAGCCTTTATAGCAGGGAAATTCCAAAAAGTGCTCTGGGTAGTGATCACATCTTTAGAATGAGTGCAACCTTAGTTTTATGAGCATCTTGAAGGTGATAACACTATTGGACAGAGTTAAAATCTGTACTGCCAGTGACTTTGGAAGAATGATTCCAGGTAAACAAAGGTTTATTTCTTTGAGCAGAAAACTATAATAATAATAACAATTTTATGTGGAAATCTTTCTAAAATGTATCATATATTATTCTATCTTAAATATATATAGCATAATTTACTCCTTGATAACTTAGGATCATTTTCTCAATATTAATTGTACTATGATACTATGTTGAGATATTATGACTACTTGGGGCTATACTCAGTGTTCCAGATGGCTATGACTTTTGAGTTCTTAGGCCTGTTTTTTTTAAATACTGTGTCTTCTGTACTGCTAGAGTCATTTTTTTTTTCCTGCTGTCAGTGTACTTGCCATATGCAACCCCTTCATTGCCCTTCAATGTATAGGTTCGGAAACCAGTTCATTAGAATTTTGTGGGAGTAAACACTCTAAGTGAGGGCTTGAAGGGATCTCTGCAAAGTGTATGAATTGTAGTAGATTGGTTGTGTGATGTCTATTTTGGGTGCTCAGAGGCCTTTTTTGAACTTTGTTTTCTTTACTTTGCTCTTGCTAGATCAGATTATTGGATAATTCTGGAATATCAAAAGATCGGTCATATGACTTTATATTTAAACCTTTTATGCCAGAGATACTACTGGAATGGCTGCTGAAGAAATAAGTTGTTGTTATGGCTGATATGGAGGAGAAAGGCTCTGACCCTACTGTTCCTACTTCTTTCCCTTTTCACCTTTTCACAAGGGGAAAGAGAGAAGGGCTTATAATATGCATCAGCTTGTAAGAGCAACAACAAAAATAGTATCCAACCTAGATTTAAGAGGGATAGCCTCTGACTTATTCCATGTTTTTCCTGGAAGGAAGGAAAGAAGTAATGTGGCATAATAAATAGAATGCTGGAATTCCATCTCAAGCATTTACTAGCTGTGTGTCTCTGGATAAGTCATTTAATCTCTCTGAGGAGCAATTTCCTCATCTGTAGAATGAGGGTAACAGACTCAATAATATCTAAGGTCCCTTCCAGCTCTAAATTTATGATCTAATGAGATTGACAGGCAAGCAGGGAGGGGGAGTTAGAAATGACAAAATTAGGTGTATGCAAATACTTTGAGGAATGGACAAAAAATAGTTCTTCACTGGTATAGTGAGACAATCGACCTGCGGAACATGAAAGTGTAGTCACATTGAGAAGCCGTTGTTGTCTGTGGACTCTGTGAGACTTTGATGTGGCCTCTTCAGGAATGAATTGAGTAAATTGTCAACAATTACATCAGTGTATTTATAGATTAACCTTAGGAATCCAGTGGCATTTCCTATGTCTTTATAGTATTGAATCTCACAAAGATCTCCTTCCCTCTTGCAGATACCCGGAAGAACTACAATTATTATAGTACCTTGTCATTCACCAGTGACAAATACTTCCATGAGTTTGATAAAGAAGCTACCACAAATTTCACTGAAATGAGTCAGAGGATAGAAACAATGGTAAATCAGAATCTTCTTCCCTCTGTGTCACTTTAATTCACTTTGATTTACAGTAATACGATTAATACCGATAAGGCACTTGAACTGGCTTCTCCCTGGCAAGGCTGAAATGATTGGCCATTCCACTGGCCTACTCCTTTTCATTTTTCCTTTTTCACTGATGGGGGATGATGCCCAATTGGGCTGCATAGCTAAAGGATGTTAAAATGTGATTATGAGAGTGAAATTTATTTCTTTATTCCAAACTTTCTGATTGTCTTTCTCATATTAGGACAGAACTAAAGTTTCAGAATGTCCAGACAAACAGCTGATTAATGTAAGAATATGAAAAATGTAAGAATATGTGTGGCATCGGAAGACCTAGATTTGAATCCTGGCTCTCTAATGTTTACTACCTCTGCGACCATGAGCAAATCACTTAAAATCTCTGAGCCTCAGTTTCTTTATCTGTAAAATGAAGGTGTTGGATGAGATGACCACTCTGGTCTCTTCTAGTTCTAAGCTGATGGTTCTATGACCCTTCAGAATCAACCAATCAACAAGCATTTGTTAAATTCCTATGTGCTAGGTACCATATGGTAGGCAATGGTGTTATAATGACAAAATGAAACAGTCTCTTCTCATAAGGAGCTTACATTCTATTGTGGGGGAGGGGAGGAGGACAACGTATAAATAAATATATAAATAAATAAATATTGTACAAAACACACAAGGTAAGTTTTTTGGGATGGGGGTTGTTGAGACCATTAGCATGGTGAGATGGGGGTGGGAAATCAAGAAATGCTTCATGTAGGAAGTGTCAACACTTGAACAGAGTTTTGAAGGGAATAAGGGATTTTAAGAGGCAGTAGCAGAAAAAGGGATATCAGAATGGAGGACCCAGAGAAATTACTCCTGTAGGGCAGCTAAGTGGTGTGGTGGATAGAGCACTGGACCTGGAGTTAGGAAGACCTGAATTAAATCAGATGCTTACCAGCTGTATGACCCTGAGTAAGTCACTTAACTGCCGTCTGTCTCTATTTCTTCATCTGTAAAATAGGATCATAATGGCACCTGCTTCCCAGAGTTGGTGTGAGGATAAATCAGATGATACTTGCAAAACACTTTGCAAGCCTTAAAGTATTAGTATGACCTAATCTTTTGATGGTTCTGCATTTCCATTTTGCTTTCAGGGTGACTTTCATAGGATCATAGATTTAGAGTTGAAAGGGGCCTTTGCAACAGGTAGTTTAGCCCCCTCATTTTACTGGATGAGAATTGGAGGTTGCAAGAGCTTAAGTGACTTGTCCAAGGACACTCAGTAAGTAGCAGAGCTAAGATTCAAACCCCAGGTCCTCTGACTCGAAATCCTGCATTCTTTCCATGATGTTCTTCCATCTTCCTCTTTTTACAGTGGAATGGTCAGGGGCAGAGGTTATCATGGCAGCAAGGTGTAACAAGTCTTGTGTTTGAATTGGGACCCTGATACCCATTGCCTATGGGACCCAGAGCAAATCACTCAACTCTATGAGCTTCACCTTCTTAATCTGAGACATGAAGAGCATGCTTACATTGCAAATCTCCCAAGGTTGTTGGGAGAAATGTACTTTGTCAACTGCTTGAAAAGTATGAATTGTTATTTTGGTAAACTTGGTAGGAAAGTGGGTAGCACTGGTGTGCCGAGCATGGATGCAAAGTTACTAAGGTGTATGCTTCTTGGTAATAGCATTAACCTCAGAATATTCTAAAATTACAATGATTTGGCTACTACTAGTACAATGATATGGGAGTACTTCCAAAGACTGTATAGAGATATGGATGGAAGTATATTATGAGTAATCCTATTAGGAAATAGTTTATTATTGAATATGTTGTGGGATAGAGCAGCTAGGTGGTTCAGTGGATAGAGCACTGGGCTTGGAATCAGGAAGACTATCTTCATGAGTTCAAATCCAGCCTTAGACACTTACTAGCTGTATAACCCCAGATAAGTCACTTACCCTGTTTGCCTCAGTTCCTCATATGCAAAATGAGCTGGGGAAGGAAACAGCAAACCACTCCAGTACCTTTGCCAAGAAAACCCCAAAATGGGATCACAAAGAGTTGGATGTGACTTAAATGTCTCAACAACAATGAAATATTGCAGGACAGATTTTTCTTTTTAAGTTCCTAGGTCCTGGAACAGTTCCAGATGGAACTATAAAAATTCCTATAAGAAGAAACACAGTGAGAGTTGATTGCAATCTGGCTCCTTCTAGTGGCTGGTCTGGAAGATGATACAGATGCTCATCCTTAAACAACAGGGAGCATCTTCATAGGGAAGAGGAACAAAGCGCTCCTTAAAACAAGTGTAACAGTTTAGAGTTGAACCTCAGAGTCTAATGACTTCTAGCCCTCATCCCACTAAACTGGAGGGAGCTTTGCTCTTGATTGATGGTCTGTAGGATAGCTAGCATTTTTCCTGGGGGAGGAAAGAATAAGACCTCATTTATTTAACTACTAGGGTAGGGAAGTGTTAGCCAAGTATTAACAGGATTTGGTAGTGCCAGTAAGGTGTTCATGATCTCTTCTATATACTCCATGCAACACCAGAGGGTGCTCTGGGAAAATTCAAAACACTATCTTTAGGATAGCTTTCAGCCTCTATTCACTAAACTGCTTCTTTTGACAGTGTATGGCACATAGAAGTTGCTTAACAAATGCTTGTTGATTGATTTTAAAGCTGTTAACACTCCTCTTTTAGTCTAAAAGTGTGATGTGTGTGTGATGTGTGTGATGTGTGTGATGTGTGTAGATTTTTGAATTAGCCCTTACCCACTAAGAGAAAACTGTTTCAGACTTAAGTATATATAGTTCTTTAATCATACCACATGGGAAAAAGAATACATTAAAATAACTACTGCATAGGCTAAACATTTGTGGCTTTTCTGAGGCAGAAGCAGCCCCAATCTTTTTTAGCCCATAGACAAGCCTCAAACTTAGGAGTTCAAGCCCAGTCATCTAGTTTGAGTGCTGAGATTCAGGTTTCTGCTCTGATTCAAGGAGAGAATAATATTAGTCAATCACATCTGTTCCCAGTTATCTGTATATTCTAGGTTCTTGCTAGCTTCCACTCACTCAGGTAATAACCATTTATTAAATGCCTACTCTATGCCAGGCATTGTGTTAAGTGTTGGGAATACAAAAAGAAGCAAAAGATAGTCCCTGCCCTCAAGGAGCTCACAATCTAATGGGAGAAAGGGAGAGACAACAAGCAAACAAATATGTACAAACAATATACATATATATATGTGTGTGTGTTTGTGTATGTATGCACGCACACACACACATATAAAGGAAAAATAGGAAATAATTAAGAGAGGGAACACACTAGAAATAAGAGGGGTTGGGAAAGGCTTCCTATAGAAGATGGGACTTTAGTTGTTATTTAAAGGAAGTCGGTTAAATTTAGTTATGTACCCGAGAAAGGACTTCCAATGACAAAGAATTATGGGTTTACCCCTTGGCCATACATATTCTTTACATGTGTGTCTTATTATAATTTGCTCTAAGTTTAAGCTCACTCTTTTCCCTAGAGTTTGTTGGAACTTCTGGGATCATCTACTCCACACTTGGGGGGAGGAGTATTTTTGTACCTACTATTTGCTATACTTTCTTAGTAAATAGATTTTCTAAAAGCTAAAAACAAGCAAAACAAAAAAAGGAAACCAGTAAGAAGAGATGAGGAAGGAAAGCATGCCAGGCATGGGGGAACATGCAGAGAAAATGCCCAGACCTGAGAGATAGAATATCTTGTTCTTAGAATAGCCAAAAGGCCAGTGTTACTGGATGGAAGAATACATAGTGAGTGATAAGATGAAAGAAGACTGGAAAGATAGGAGGAAGCTAGGTTATAAAGTGCTTTGAATGCTCAACAGAAGATTTTGTATTTGATCCTGGAGGCAATAGGGAGCCACTGTAGTTTATTGAGGAGGAGAGTGATGTGGTTAGACCTGTGCTTTAGGAAAATCACTTTAGTGACTGAATACAGGATGGATTGGAGTGGGGAGAAACAAGGCAGGCAGACTGGTCAGCAGGCTATTGCCATCTTCCAGGTATGAGGTGATGAGAGCCTACACTAGAGTGGTGACAGTGTTGGGGGAGAGAAGGGGACATATTTGAGAGATGTCACAAAGATGAAAATAATAAGCCTCAGCAACATATTGGATATAGGGGTGAGAGATAATGAGAAGTCAAGAATGAGACCTAGATTGTGAGCCTGAAGGACTAAGCACTGGGGTTACAAAGAAAGGCAAAAATCAGTCCTGTGCACTCCTGGAGCTCACAGTCTAATGGTACAAAAAACTTCAATGGTAAAGAAAAGAATCCTTATTCCTTTTGCTTTCTGTGTCAATCATGAAAAAGTTGGAATTCTTGATATCCTATCAGATCCAAATCGACTGTAGATTAAATAGATATAGGAACATCTTAGTAGTCATTAAAATAATTTGGAGGGAAAAAAATAGCAAAAAGGTCATAGACTCTTCTTGGAGGATATACTATGTGTTAAATTGGTTTTATTCTCATAATTGTAGAATCCAACCTTCAAGTTCAATTAAGTTAAACAAGTGTGGAGTCTTGAAACCAATTTGCAATGGTAGAGATTAACAAAAAGCAAATTGTTTCCATTATCCATAAGCAGCATGAAGTAATTAGAATTTAAGAACAAGGCAAATATAAATTCATCAATTCAGTTCATTAAAAAAAAAACATTTACTTACTTTATGAAAAGGACTAGGTGAGGTGCTAGGAATACAAAGGTAAAAAAAATAACATTGTTTCTTCCCTCAATTTAATAGGGGGATACATTTAATTGATCAATTAAGGATTTTATTATGGTTTAATAGGGAGATAAAATGCATACAATTAAGTAGATATAAGGTAGAATGTGATGGGGCAAAGAAGAGATACAGGCAAAGTGATTTAAGAAAATTTGGAGAGAATGAATGAATGAATAAATATAATTTATTAAGCAGTTAGTATGTGTCAAGCAATGGACTAATCTTGAGGATGAAATACAAAAGCAGTCCCAGCCTTAAAGAAGTCTACATTTTTATTGAGGGAGATAAAGAAAATATTGGGCTGGAGAAAAGAGTGATGGCCGGGAAATCACAAATATGGTAAGTGGAACAATGGAGCATTCCATTAACACACACTTTCCAGAGGTGATTTGATTACATTTCTTAGAGAAAAATGTAGAAGTGGGAATGTAGGTGTAGTAGTGTTATTTGGGTTGCGCTAAAAATAACCTGGTGTGAAGATAAGGGTATTTGGTTTCTAAGAGATGAGAGAATTCATATTCATCTGGGACAGAATCAGGAAAGCTTTTTCAAGCTAAGCCTTGAAAAAAAAAGAGAATTTTAATAGGTAGAAATGTAAAGGATGTGGTTTCTAGGCATGGAGGATGGCCTAACAAATGCACAGAGGTAAGAGAACACAGGATATGGTCAGAACAATAATAGTGTTCCAGTTGGACCAGAATAGAGAGTACATGAAGGAAGGTAAGCCTGGAAAGACAAATTAGAAGTTGATTCTGTAGAGTCTTAAGTGTCAGGTAAGGACTTCATACTTTGTCCTGTAGGCAACCACAGAGTCATAGAATCTCAGAGGTAGAAGGCACCACAGAGGTCATTGATTTTGACCCGTAGCTAAATGAGAATCTCCTCTACAATATACCCCCAAAGTGGTCATTCAGTCTTTGCTTGAAGACCTCTAGAGAGCAAGAACCCATTACTTCTCAAGGAAGCCCATTCTACATCTGGATAGCTCTATTAGGAAATTGTTCTTCACCTACTTTTATTCTCTTGGGCTGAATAGAACAAATCTAATCCTTCTTCCACATGATAGTACTTCAGATACTTGAAGGACAGCAATCATACTCCCCATAAATCTCCATGTTCCTCCCAAGTTTTCTCTTCTCCAGGCTATTCTTCTTTAGTTCCTTCAACTGATCTTCATGTGACATGAACTCAAGGCCCTTTGCCATCCTGGTTGCCTTCCTCTTAATGATCTTGGCTTATCAATGTTCTCCCTAAAATGTGGCACCCAGAACTGAACTTGGTACTCCATATGTGGTCTGACCACAGCAGAAGATAGTGGGACAGAAGACAGAAGACCTCCCTAGTCTTGGACCACTATGCTCTCTGTTTCTTTCATTTTCTAAAGTTCCCCTTAGCTTTGTTGACTATCTTCTCTCAATAGTCAGACACTGAGGGTCTGGGAAGGATGAGGAGGTGGTCAGACCTGGGCATCCAAAGTTACTGAGGGACTAGGGTATTTCTCTTAATTGACTCAATTTAAGAAGGGGCAGGGCAGAGGGAAGAAAAAAGAAATTTACATGGCAACTTAATTATATATTTAAAAGGAATAGCAAGTTGTAGATAATCTACTTGCACTTTCATGTGCAATTTTTTTTATTATACTATGTTATGGAAATGCTTGCTTTATTCCATAAATTAAAAATAAAATAAATTTAAAAAAGCAAAAAGCAAAAAATTTAAAATTTTAGAAAAAGATGAGGCTATGTAAAGTTGCCCTTAGATAATTAATTCCCAAGGCTATAATTGTTGATTATCAGGAGGGACCTGGAATTGTGGCTGCCAATGTTTCCACTATCTGAAGCTGCTAAAGCTTCCATCATCTCTGAATGTAGTTTTTCTCTCTCTAACTATAGTGATGGGGGTTCATTCCTTCCTCTTTCTTCCTTGTTTTAGAGCAGGGGTTCTTCACCTGGGGTCTGTGAACTTTCTAAACAAAATATTTTTCAATGTAATCGGTTTCCTTTGTAATCCCATACATTTTGCAACATTAGTCTGAGAAGGCATCCATTGGTTTCACCAGACTGCAGAAGAGGTATATGAAACACAAAGATTAGCAACCACTGTGCTATCCTTATTCCATATCCAATTATTCCCAAGGCACATTCAGAGTAGAGTGAAATGTGTAAACCTTGTTCAGAATGACACAATGAATTCTCTGTGATGCAATATGTATGTCAGTGTCCTCTTATTAATGTTTTCAATGTTTCTGAAACAGGTTAAAAATGCATTTTATCAATCCAGCTTAAGGAAAGAATTCATCAAGTCCCAGGTTATTAAGTTCAGGTATGTGGACATAAAGAATTGTTCTTTGTATATGAAGATAGATGTTGATGTAGTCATTAGAGTGTGTTTGTATTGGAATATTTTTATAATATTGATATTATGTTCTTATATGTCGTTCACACACTCTAACTCTAATATCATGCATTCATTTTATGGGTGGCTGTTGTCAGAGGTATGTTCTGTGGTCATAGCAGATTTAAATTTTTTTTTTTATTGTGAGTGAAGCTAAGTATGAATTATTGCAGTGTGGTTGAAAGCTCTCCCTCTTCATCTCCCCCTCCTGGCTTCACCAGCTTCCTTCAATTTCTATCTAAATCCTACCTCCTCAGGAAGACTTTCTTGATCCCCCTTATTTTGATTTGTCGTTTAGTTATTTTCAGTCATGTCCAGCTCTTTGTGACCCCATTTAGGGTTTTCTTTGCAAAGATACTGGAGTGGTTTGCCATTTCCTTCTCCAACTCACTTTACAGATAAGGAAACTGAGGTAAACCATTTAGTTGCCTCCCTTACTTCTATTGTATTCCTTCTATTGCCTACTTCTGATTTTTCCTACCTATAGCTTTTTTTGTACAAAATTGTTTGCATATTGTCTCCCCCATTAGACTGCGAGCAAATTGAGAGCAGGGACTCTTACTGTTCTTTTTATCCCCAGTATTTAGCACAGTACCTGGCACCTAGTAAGATCTTAATAAATATTTATTAACTAACTGACTGACTAAAAGACAACTGGAATTGGAGTCAGATAACCTGGCTTCTAATCTCAGTTTTATGACTTGGTACAGTGGAAAGTGGCAGCTAGGTGATGCGGCAGATAGAGAGCCGGGCCCAGAGTCAGCAAGACTCATCTTTCTGAGTTCAAATCTGGACTCAGACACTTAGTAGAAGTGTGACCCTGGGTAAGTCACTTAACCCTGTTTGCCTCAGTTTCCTCATCTGTAAAATGAGATGGAAAAGGAAATTGAAAACCATTCTGGTATCTTTGACAAGAAAACTCCAAATGAAGTCACAAATAGTCAGGCATGACAGAAATGACTGAACAACAACAACGTAATGGAAAGAACATTGATTGTGGAGTCAGAGAAACTAGGTTCAAATCCTGCTTCTGATGCTTATTACCTGTGTGACTTTGGGACAAATCATTTCACTTTCCTAGGCCTTAGAATAAAGGTATTAGGTTAGTGGACCTCCAAGATCTCTTCCAGCTCTAAATCTGTGATCCTATAAACTGGCTTAATATTGATCCAGAAAATAATCTAACACTAATTTATTAGTCAAATGAATAAAGAAACAAAAGGAGAAGGCCACAAAAAATAATAGCATTGTGTAGTGGAAAGAGCAGTAGACTTGAAAGCAGAAGACTTGGATTTCAATCCTAACTTCCAAATTAATTAACTGCATAACTTTGCGTAGATCTCTCTTTTCCTCCATGTGCTTCAGTTTCCTTGCCTGAAAATTACATTTGGACTAAGTATTTCATAGGATTGCTGTGAGGGCTAAATAAAATAATGTATACTATAGTACAACTGTAAAGTACAATATAAATTTTAGCTGTTAGTATTATTAGAGCCTTTATTTGCTTTCTGAAATTTTTGTCTTGCTTTTGTTTTGCTTTGTTTTGTGTATTGTATAGTCCCCAGGATCCCGGAGTGGTGGCCCACATGCTGATGATTTTTAGATTCCCCTCTACCCAGAGTCCTGAATCCATAAAAAAAACAATTCAACGTGTGCTGCATGAGAAACTCCAACATGCAACTGGGCCCCCCAAAGTAGACCCTTCGTCAGTTGTGCTCACAAGCAAGTTTTCCAATTTTCTGCAATTTACCTTTCTTGCACAGAGCAGTTTTAATTTTTTGGTTTGGGGCATTTTCCTTTCCTCTCCTCTCTTTCTTGTATAGTCTAACCAGCTCCTAAAATGGGACTGCACAGTAAGTACCCTCATACTTCTAAAATAGGATAGGGCTCAGTGCTGCTTTTTAGCTTCCAAAGACATCTGGCAGAGTATCCTTCTCGTGACTCTGGGTAAGATTATCTTGTCCGTCACCCATAGAAAATGACTGGAAATAGGACAAGGGAATTGTCTTCCTACCACGATTCTCAACTCTCTTAGGCTACTATGAGTTATTCTGAAGTTGTAATATGTGAAAAGTACTTCATCTTATCCACCTCCCTTTTCAAATAAATGTAATATTAATACATAAGGCATTACATATGAATATGTACATATAGATACATACATATATAAATACATATACATATTCACATATATGGATAGGGAACAAGAACTAGACCAATGATTTCATTGGTATGGGAAACTCCCAGGTAAGAAAGTTTCCTCTACCAGTGCAGGTCAGTATCCTCTCTAAAATTCTTTACAACAAAAGTTACCTAGATCACTGAGAAGTTAAGTGACTTAACCAGGGACATACAGCCAGTATGTGTCAGAGGCAGAACTTAAATCCATATCATTTTGGCTTCCAAGCTAGCTCTCTAGTCATTTGCTATACCATATTGTCCTTCTCCCTCTTTCTCTCTCTCCCCTCTCCCCTTCTTTCTTTCTCTCTGTCTCTTGTTTCTCTCTCTCCCCCTTCTCTCTCCTTTCCCTCTTCACTTGTGTGCATGTGTATATATGTAATTCAGTATTAATATGCCAAGCTCCCTTGATCCTGGCCTGGCAGTTAGTCAACAAGTGTCTATTGCTATGTGCCGGGTACTTTGGTAAGCACTGGGAAGACAAATACAAACCGAAGGAGTTCACAATGTTTCAATCGATTTGAAATTCATTTAAATGTGATGGATCTTAAATTATTTTGGATTAAGGAAAGACCAAACTGAGGAAGTCACTATTTCCTTAGTCACACTGTAGTAGAAATAGAACTTTCAGGGAGACAGAAAATATGGATTCCAGTCCTAGCTCTGACATTGATTAGCTGTGTGGCTTGAGAAAGTCACTTCAACTTTTCTGGGCCTCACTTTTTTCATCTATAAGATGAGTAAGTTTGGACTGAATATCCTAAAACTGCTTTTAGTTCTATAATTTATGTTGCAATTAGTGTGCAATTTGGGGAAATAATTTATTCCTTTGTGTGAAATACTGAGTAATCACATGGCTTGCCAGATGAGCACCATTAAAAGGTTTTGCTGGAAAACCATTTCTGTCATATAGGAGTTAAATTCTCTAAACAAATGTGGGCTTCTTATATTATATAATGTCATGGGATTTATACCTGAAAGGAACCTTATAGGCTTATAGATAATTTAATTCCCCTCTTTTACAGGTGAGGAAACTGAGGCTGAGAGGGACATTTACTTGCCCAATGTCACACAGATGATAAATATTTAATCTGGGATTCAAATATGAGTTCTCTAACTCTAAATGAAATGCATTTTTCATGGTACCCTGCTATGCCATGCTTCCTCTCACCCTGATAACTCACACTGAGAGATTACCTTCCAGTTAACAAAATATTTTATCTATATTATTTCATTTGACCTTCACTAGAACTCTATGAAGTACATAGTGATTCAGTCTTCGCAAGGAGGTAGTTTAAATAGCAATTCTGGTGTAAATATTTTCTGGAGTAAATATTTTTGCCTCTGATCAGAAGGAACCTGCATCTGTGGGTACTTTTCTTGGGAATTCTTATAAGTTATTATGTCAGACATATTTATATTGGACACAGATTGTAGTTTTGTGGGACAGGCCTGATTTAAAGAAAATAAAGTGGCTTTTAATCAAATTTTGCAAAAAAGGAGTATTCTTCACCAGAGTCTGAGTCCCTGCACAGAAAGTGTCACTATCCACATATACCCCTACGATCATGAGACGGTGACTTGAGTTTGCAAGTCCTCATATTTGTGATGTTACTGGTGACTGGCGTCCCATAAAAGGCAGGTTCTCTAAACCCAAATTCTAGGGATCTAGAGAAATGTGGGTTCTACTCTTCTATTCTAGATTTCCCTAAGTCCCAAAATAGATCAGGGGAGCCCTTGTTATAGTCACAGAGACCAAGAGGTAATTGATTTAAAAGGGTTTGTAAGATTTACCACAGATTTTTCTCTCCTTCTTTCTCCAAAACAGGGGTTATTTCTTCCATCCACGGGGACCCTGAACCAGCATATCTTAGGGATTTTGAAAGTCCACTGGGACCAGGATTCAAGGAGCTACTAAAATGACTACTTACTATTCCTTCCTCTGAAATGAGACCCTGTGACTAGGTTCTCCCAGCTGCAGGATAGGTATAGTAACTTTAGGGAGAAGCTATATTCCTGAATTGAACTGCCAAATTGTAGCCTTTGACTAGTCATATGAATCCTACTACATCCAGTTGATGTTTCTTAAAAATATAAATTCATTCATCAGTCAGCAATATACATTTACCAAGTATCTACTATCAATTTTATTCTTAACTTGTGTAATAATTCTAGGCATACTTTGCCATTTAATAGCAGCTTAAACTTCATTCAGTAGTGGCCATTAGCAATTTAACTTTAAGTTTTTTAGCTTTTCTGTCAAGAAATCAGCAGTTATTAAAAAAAAAATCAGTAGCTATGAAATAACATTTTGAGGAGCTCTTTTTTCAGGACACCTATAGAGAATAATAGTGTAAAGTTATGCTATAATATGCTACCTTCATAACAGTTCTTGCATCCAAACCCCTCTTTTCACTCACACAGCTGCCACCTTAGTTCAGGCTCTCATCATCTCTCACTTAGATTACTGCAACAGCCTTCTAATTGGTCTGTCTGTCTCAAGGCTCTTCCCACTTCAGCCTATCCTCCATACTGTTGCCGAAGCAATTTTCCTTAAGTGTAGATTTGATGAGATGACTTACTCAACAGATTCCAGTGGCTCTAGGATTCCTATTGCCTCTAGGATAAAATATAAACTCCTTTGTTTAGCTTTTAAAGCTCCATGCAACCTGTCTCTAACCTATCTTTCTAGACTGATTGGACATTACTCCCACTTTCACATTTGGGAATCCAGCCAAACTGGCCTTCTCTACTCCTTACAAAAGGAGCCCTCCATCTCCCAGTTCCGTGCCTTCATGTTAGCCATTTTATATGCCTGGAACGCATTCCTTCCTCCCCTCTGCCTCAGTATCCTCTTCCTTTAAGATGCAGTTCAGGCAACATCCTCTGTGTGAAACCTTTTCTAATTTCCCCAACTGCTGGTCCCCTTCTTCCCATACTACCTTGTATTTAACTACTTTTTATATTTGCATTTATTCACTTTATATTAGTCTGTATATATTTATATAGATATGCTTGTTGTCTACCCCATTAGGATGTAAGCTCCTTGCAGGTAGGGATTATTTCATTCTTTATACATAATTATATCCTTTCATAGTATCTAGCACAGTGTCTGGTATCTAGTGGCTAAATAAATTCTTGTTGATTGGTTGATTTATAATTTTATTTCTTCAGTTCTTACATAAGTATTTTTAAAAGCAGTTAATTTAATTTAGTAAGTTCTGAAGTTTATGCTCCTTGGCCAAGAAAAATAAGCAAAATACACAATTGCCTTCCACATAACAGATTCCAGACAGTTTTTATCACTTGGCCTTTGATTTGCAATGGAAGTCCCATTAGGTATTCAACCTTTCCAAGTAAACTCAGAATGACCAAATGTGGTACAATGGAAGTTTGATGTCATTTTGCTCTGTGTTTCTGTGTATTTCAGATATCAACAAGACGGAAACGGACAACTATTTGAGTAACTGTAGGTTCAAGTTATTTATTAAAATCAGCCAACAGAATTGTCTTAACATAAAATAAAATTTAAGGATGTATGGCTTTCTCTCTTTGAATTGGGCCTAGCTTTGGGATGTTATCTTGGGTATGAAATAGGTAATTGCTCTGGTTTGTTGTACTTCTTGTGAGTAATCAGAAACAATTTGGTTTAGGAGTATAGTCACTAGAAAGAGCTATATGCATGTGGGAGGGCATCAAAGCACCGTGTTGACTTCATGGAGTGACTTCACCTACTAGAAAATGCTATAATGATCCAGACTGTGATTGGGCTGGCTGATATGACTTCCATTCCAGTTAATTATCCTCTCCACGGTTATTGTGAGTCTATAGAATTTGGAATGAATGCTGGATTTGACATCTTCACTTAACTGTGTGGGTTGTATGTTTTCTTCCTTGTAAAGAGTTATTTTTAAGAGTATCTTTGGAAAGAACATTGCATCAGATCTGATCATTGATAGGGATAGGGATCAGACCTATAATTTCACTGGCATAGAGGAGGGAGATTCATTTCTCATCTCTGTGGGAGATGCTGGTTGGCACCTTCTCTGCAATTTATAGTTTCAGAGAGTTGCCAAGAGCCCTGAAAGGTTAAATAACTTGACCCAAATCACATAGGTAGCAAGAACCTGAGGCGGGACTTAAACCCAGTTTTTCCTAGTTCTGAGGCTAGCTCTCTAGCCATTGTGCCACATTTCCAATCAAGAGTTTAGCCCCTATATCACTGGCAAGTATTGTGCCTTACTATTCCTGGGAGGGTGGGGGAGGCAGATAAATTATTAAACAAGAAGCTCTATTAAATACTATTGCAAATATTCTCTAAAAATGATTTGACAGTGGGGCTATGAATTCATATCTTTGTTCTATTTCTATTCATACCTTTGCCCCCACAAATGCAGAGTCCCAATGCTAGGACTTAATCTCATATTCCCATAGCTGGTGCCATTTAAAATGCTTTCAGCTGAATGTCTGAAAGCCTCAAAGAAATCCTTGTATTCCTCCCAAAATTCTAGATCTATACATACCTCCCACATCAGCGTCCCCATGCTTTAGTTCAATGATTCAGAAACTAGGTTCAATAGGTGAGGAATAACAGCACATTAACACACTCTGCCTAAAAGCTGTCCTTCCTTCCTTTGTCATGGAAGGTTTCAGAATCAGGTAGATGGCGAGTGTGGTCAAGCTCTTTTGGCATGGAATTAGCAGTCGGGCAAATTGGCAGCTTTATAACACTATCAGACTATATCTAAGGAGGTGTGTATGTGGGAAGCAAACTAATTCCAACAACCTTTCCTGCCCCTGCTATGCAAAACCACAAGAGAACAAAACACAAATTCCTAGATAGTAGCATATAAAAGAATGAAGTTACAATGTTCAAAAATGAAGAAAATCTAACAGCCCCTTTTCTTTGTGACAGGCTGTGGGACACGGATGGGTGCAAGCTTTGGCACAAGTGACAGGATAGTCGGGGGACAAGAAGTAGTGCAAGAAGGTGAATGGCCCTGGCAGGCCAGTTTGCAGTGGAATGGGGTTCATCGTTGTGGGGCAACCTTGATCAGTACCACGTGGATTGTCAGTGCTGCTCATTGCTTCAGAAAGTAAGTCCAGAGACTGCCCTTGGAATTGAGTGAGTGAGAAAAGAGGGCAGTTTGGCCTCTGAGAAGAGGGAAGATCATTTTGAAGTCTGGATGAATTAAAGTTAGATGCATTTTTTTAAAAGGACTTCTTTATCTGAATAGGTAGTAAAGGACGGAAATTTAAAAAAAAAGATTTGATACAAATTCATGGATGATAAATTGTAAGTGGCTTGTTAATTGAAACTAGGATGTCTTGGGGACATTCTTAACTACTGATGTTAATGGAAGAGACAAACCTAAGCTTCTACAGGTTTGTTGGTACTATCAGAAGAGACAGACAGCTGAATGGAGTCTGAATTCAAAACTGGTAACTGGGATAAAGCAAATCGGGCTTTGGTTTAGCATGGGGGGGGCGTGAAGGGAGGGCATGCTTCCTTCAACTCTGCCTCATCTTTCAGTTTTCTGGAGTTTTAGAGTTCAACAACCCTAGAAACACTCTCTGGAGAACGGTTTACCTTTTCTCAGTATAACTGTACCCACCCTGTGACTCTCCTCTATGTTACTGAGCTCACTTCTTTCCATTAGAATTTTCTCTGACACCTAGGTCGTACAGATGGTAGAATGATGGACAAGGAGTCAAGGCCTGAGTTTAAATTTAGCCTTAAGACATTTACTAGCTGTGTGACTCTGGGCAAGTCATTTATCTCTTGTCTGCTTCAGTTTCCTCAGCTATAAAGTGGGGATAATAATAGTACCTCTATTCTAGGATTGTTGTGAGGATCAAATGAGATATTTGTAAAGTGGTTAGCACAATGCCTGGCATTCTTTCTTCTTTCTTCCTTCCTTCCTTCCTTCCTTCCTTCCTTCCTTCCTTCCTTCCTTCCTTCCTTCCTTCCTTCCATCCCACTTTTGAATTACATATACAACATCCTAACTGAATTTGAACCAGGAACAGTTTCAGCTGGTTTATGTTGCGCTTGGCTTTGTTATTATGACAATCCTTATGACCTTATGGGATATGGGACTAGGAATAGACTGTTTGTATATCATTTAAGAACCTGCCTAACTAGCTAAGTACAGAAGGGCTCATCACCTGAAGTGTCCACAACATGGGAAGACCATCTCCTAAGGCATAGAAGGGGTATAATCTGCATTGTCAGAGAAAATGTTATATTTATTATATCATGAATCCTTGAAGTAAGTATGGTGAGGGAAAGGCAATTCAGAGCAAAATCTTAGAAACCCCAAGTTAAATAAGTGCAGTTTGGTTGTTGTTTTACAGTGAATAAAATGGGTTTTCCTAACTCATTTTTTAAAAAAAAATGTAATTCCTAAAGACACCTCAATGTTATGTCAAGGATCCTGTGGTTCCTAGCAGAGTCAGACTACCTACATTTATGAACAAGAAAAAAAAAACATTTATTAAGTGCTCATTATGTACCAGGAATTATGCTGAGTGGTGGAGATACAAATACAAATAGCAAGATTATCCCTGCCTGCAAGGGGCTTACATTAGAAAGCAAAAGACTAGCATGGTAGGGGTAAGAGCAGAAAGAATCAATTTCTCCCTTTTTGCATATACAATGTGTGTTCTGCCCACATGTTTTTGAGGCCACATAGTGTTATATGGAGATGAAAGAAGCCTGATAGTTCAGGTGAGTAGAGAATGAAGTTCTGGGAAGCATATTGCTGGAATTACCCCATAAATTGACTCTATATCATCCCCCCTTCCCTAATCTCTTCCTAACCAATGGAGGCTGAGGGAAGTGTTTGTTTTTGTGGATTGAAATTTAGACCTTCAATAAAACAACAAGGTATTTGAACACCTATGAAATGAACTGTGCTATTATAAAGTAGTGGCAGCTTATGGAAAGTGCTTTCATTTCCTTTTTCAGTTACAAGGACCCTGCCAGATGGAAAGCTTCTTTTGGTGTGACAGTAAATCCCCCCAAAGAGAAACGAGGCTTCAAGAGGATTATTGTTCACGAAAACTACAAGTATCCATCTCACAATGATGACATTGCTGTTATAGAGCTTTCTCGCCCTGTAACTTACACAAACGCGGTGCATCGAGTGTGCCTCCCAGATGCATCTCATCAAATTAATCCCGGTTCTGCAGCATATGTCACAGGATTTGGAGCACTGAGGAATGATGGTGGGCACTTGAATAGAAACTAAATGTGCGCTAGTAGACCCTAATACTTTAAGCCACTGATAGGGAAGAATATAATGGAGCAAATATAAAATCTCTGTTTGGCTTTTAAAGCCCTTTACAATTTGGCCCCTTCCTTCCACTCCAATTTTTTTAACCCTTTATTCCCTTCCATGTATTTGATGATCCAGTGACATTACCCTTCCTTCTGTTCTTTCCACACCACACTCCCATCTCCTAACTCAATGTCTTGTAATGGGCCTTTAGTCTATGCTTGCTGTGCTCTCTATCTTTGGTTTTCCTGGCTTCCTTCCAAGACTCAGTTAAAAATCCACCTTCTTCAGAAGACCATTCCCAATGTCCCTTAATGCTAGTGCCTTCCCTTTGCTATTACCTATATATGTATATATATAATATATATAATATATAATGCATATATATAATATTATATATATATATATATATATATTTAGTTGTTTCTATGTTGTCTTCCCCATTAGAATGTATGCTCCTCAAGGGCAAGGACTATTTGTCACCTTTCTTTGTACCCCCAGCATTTAGCACATAGTAAGTTCTTATTTACTTAAGCTCTTAAGAAGTACTGGCTTAAGCACTATACCATAGGCTTGGGTATTACACCATAGTAAGCACTTAATAAATGCTTGTTGACTCTATTTGTTGCCAAGCTTTGCTGGTCAGCCAGTGGATTGGGCTAAAATCAGGCTTGGGAGTAAGTTGGGGAATTAGGGATGAATGTCCCTAAGCTTTTCCATCACTATGGTACCACATTGCTGCTATAGTAGACATTCATTCAGCGAGCATTTACTAAACACCAGTCTACTATGTGTGATTCATATTAGCAACAGGGCAAAAATAATGGATTGAGTACTGGACTTGGAGTCAGGAAGACACTAGATAGCTATGTAATCCTGATCAAGAAACTTCACCTCTATGTGTTTCAGAAAGTTTCTTGGGCCTTCTCTACTAAGTCATAGATAGGCTATAGTCTGCTCTGGAAGAGAGAGTTCCCACACTGGGAATTACCCATGATATCGAAATCTCCCATCCATCATGTATTTGAGTACCTGGAGCTAACTGTGCTGAGTGCTAGAAGATAAACAGACAAATAAGACCTGCAAACTCTAAAGGGGAAGTGATGTACACAAATAAAACACAAGTAGAATACAAGAAAGGCAGCTGATATGGTACAAGTGGATAGAATGCCTGGCATGGAGTCAGGAAGACTCATCTTTGTGACTTCAAATCTGGCCTCAGACACTAGCTGTGAGACACTGGGCAAGTCACTAAACTCAGTTTGCCTCAGTTTCTTCATCTGTAAAATGAGCTGGAGAAATAAATGACAAACCATTCCAGTATCTGCCAAGAAAACCCCAAATAGGGTCACAAAGATTTGGGACATGACTGAAAATGACTGAACAACAAAAAGAATACAAGTGGGCAAGAGGAATTTCAAATCTTATGAAATCAGATAAGGGAGAAATAATTAACATTTGGGGAAGGTGGAGAGCATATCATTTAAGAAGTAAGATTTAAGAGTAGTATATCACCAGGCAGAACAAGACAGAGGGCATTCCATTTGAAGGAAGTCATGTCAGCAAAAACAGAGATGGTAAATAATGGGATGTGCTCAGGCAAAAGTAAATGATCTTGATTATCTGGAGCAAAGAATAAACTGGAGAGAAGAGCATGACACAAAGACAAAGGTAAATTGTAGGCACATTTTGAAGATACCTAAATGTCAAGGAGTTTGGTAAATTTTTCCATAGATTTTTGAGCAATGGATTGAAATGATCATACCGATGCATCAGGAAGTCCAATCCAGCCATGTGGTATGAACTGAATTGAAAGAAGAGATTAAGAGAGGGATGGCTATTAGGAAATGATTTTGATATTTAAGCAAAAGGTAAGGAGGGCCTGAACTAGAATCAAGGCAGTAAAATTTATGAGAAGCAGGAAGAGAATGAGGAAATTATGGTGTCACAGAAGCCAACTGAGTGCTCTAGGCTGGTGAACTTGACATGAATTCCAGGAAAAATATTAGAACAGATTATTCCAGGTGTGATTTGTGAGCACTTAGAGAGAGAGAAACAGAGAGAGGCAGTGGATACTCTTGTTTGTTCAAAGAAGTCACACAAGAAATGCCTCATCTATTTTGACAGGGTTACTAGACTAGTAGATCAACAAAATGTGAGCAATACAACTTGGATTACAGCAAGAAAAAATGGAAAGGTAGACAAAATTGGATGGTGATAGGTGGGTCAGACCCCACCTGACTAGAATGACTGGACCCAAATAATTAAAAAAAATTTTATTGATGCTTAACAAAATATTGCTGTTACTTCCAGTGAACTTTTGTCACATACCCCACCCCTACAATGAAGAAGTATAATTGTATCAAATAACCAACATATTTCCCTATCAGACCTAAAGAATTTTGACTGATGGATGACTCTTAATCTGGATGGAACTCTCTAATAGGATGCCATATTCCTCTGTTCTTCACCCTATTTTATTTGTTATTTTTGTCTATAACAGTTATGAGGTGAAGGCCCAGATGATATCAATTATCAAAACTGTACATGACATGAAGCTGGAACATGAAATGATAGAATGTTGATTTTTGTTGTTGTTCAGTCTTTTCAGTCATGTCCAACTCTCTGTGACCCCATTTGGGCTCTTTTTTGGCAAAGATACTGGAGTGTTTTGCCATTTCCTTTTCCAGCTCATTTTACAGATGAGGAACTGAGGCAAACAGGTAAAGTGACTTGCCCAGGGTCAGCTACTAAGTGTCTGATGCCATATTTGAACTCAGGTTTTCCTGACTCCAGGCCCAGAGCTCTATCCACTTTGCCACCTAGCTGCCCACAAGGCTGATTTAAAATATCCAAATAGATAGCTCTCACTCTATCATTTCCTTGCTCAAAAAGCTTCAGGGGCTCTCCCTTGCTTATAGGATAAAATGTAGGATCCTCAGTCTGCCCTTTAAGGCCTTGTACAGTCTGACTCTAACCAACCTTTCTAGCCTTATTTTTCTCTATTTGCCTTCATGCGCTCTACATGCAGAAAAAGTGTTCTGTGGACAGATCTTCATATCTCTACTTGTTGAAATTCTCTTCTTTCTTGGTTGAAAAACTGAGGATTTTATCATAGAAAAGACTTAAGAGACACATTACAAGTATCTTCAAGTACTCAGAGGGCTGTGTAGTAGGAGAGGTTTAGATATTCTGCTTGGTCCCAGAGGGCAGAGATAGGAGCAATGGGTAGATGCTACAGAGAGTGAGGTTTAGGAACAACTTTCTAACAATTCAAGCTTTCCAGAGGGTGAATAGGGCTCTCTCTGGAGGTCAGGTTCCCCTCACTAAAAGTCTTCAAGCAAAGACTGAATGATCACTTGTCAGGTATAGCATCAAAGGGATTCTTGTTAAGACAAAGATTGATCTAGATGACCTCACTGCAGTTCTGTGGCTCAGGAAGCATCTCTTCCTCAAAGCCTTCCCTGATGCTCCTCAATGAAAGTGATACCTCCCACCTCATATTTCTTATAACACTTTGTCTAGATGCTTCATTTGTACTTAACCCATTTTGCCAATAGCATATTTCTTTTTGTTCATGTCTTATTCCCTCTTCTGGAATGGAAGTTTGGCCAAAAGGTGAACGACCTCTTGATAGACAGGACAAAAGCAGGAACTGATGGAGGAAGACACAGAAAGCATACATTGTTTGGGAAGAGGAAAGGAACAACATGTACATAGAAAATTATTTATGAGATACATATAGGATAATTTGTGAGAGGGCACCAAACCATTTACCAGTCACTAAGTTTAGAATGGGAGAAAATACTATTATAACTGTATTTCATTATGATATCCAGATGGCAACCTAGCATGGCCAATACATATCCTACTGCAATTGTATTGTCCTGATGGGTTTAATTAAAATGAGAGTTCTTTCCTAGGCATCCAGCTATTTTATTTAGACAAGATTGTAAATTAATGGCACTGTTCTTTTACACATTGTCCTATTCTGGAAAAAAATAGGTACAGAAACTGAATCACCTTTTTGATCTATAGTCATGCAGGACATGTATCAGAATATACATTTTTTTTTGGTATCTCTAAATACTAACATCATTCTACCCTTCCCTTAACTTTAGGTAACAGTGTAAATCGTCTTCAGCAAGTAAAAGTGAATATCATAGACACTAAAACATGCAATAAGCCACAAGTTTACAACAATGCTATCACCCCTGGAATGATATGTGCTGGCTATTTGAAAGGAGGAAAAGATGCTTGCCAGGTAAAGTAAAGTGCTTTTACATGCTATCATTAGGGACAGTAGATATTTTGTAATTGGCAGGGGTAGATATCTAGTGCATGCTTGGGCCTGAATAATTAATCTCTTGCATTTATATATAAATATATAGAGTCAATATAAAGAGCAGTGTAGAAAACACTGATGTAGTAGGGGGAATGGAGCCTTCCATTATATGTAAATGGAAACAGGCTCACCAAGTCTCCATGCATTGAATTGTAACCAGGAAAAATATATTGCATGCTCTTTCAAAACTCACCTGGCAAGGAAGATCTAAATACTCTCTAAGGTCCATGACCTCAACCATTATACTAGAGTATGATACCTTTTGAAGATTTAAAATTCAATGCTGTCTTCCTCTGATCACAACTTTGTTAACCTACTACTTCTCAAACTCTCCCACTTTACTGGAGCCATTAGCCCTCTTCTGGCTTCACTAGGCTCCATTCAGACCCTTGATGCCAGGGTCAGCTACTTTGTGGCTGGTCCCATCCCCATTATTGTAAAGCTCCATATTTATTTTGATGTGGTCAAGCTCACTGTGCAAACGCCTAGAGATGAACCACTCCCACCATCCTGCTGCTTTCTCTGCTCCTACTCCTTGGGTTATCAAGCATTGTTAGAGGGGTAAAATACTCTAGTGACTTAATTTACAACACATTCATACTGATTTCACTTAGCTTTCATCTCTACTTGGAAATGCTTTGATTAGTCTCTTGAGCACTGCAAGATTCTTTCCTCATGCAAGCTATTTCCAAAATTCTTTTCTCCTTTCAGTTCTCTTCTCTCCATGTTAGTTTTCAGCAGATCAACTTTGCTACGCTCTTACTGAAGAGATTAAGCTGTCTTGTACAAGCCATTTCATCTATTCTCATTTTCACCTTGCCATCTTTCTACATTTATACTCTTCCTTGGCACCAATCTCTTAGAAAGACGAGTCCCACCTTTTTTCACCACCTTCTCATACAATGGCATTCTTTTTAAAAAAAATTTCATTGCTATATTTTTTGAAAAAATCATCAATATTTCCCACTTCATACCATCCTTCCCCACCAATCTCTTATAATGATGAACTTTTTAAAAGAAGAAAGAAACAAATTCCTCCCCTTCCCCCCACCTCCACCCAATCTCCATTAGTAAGTGCCAAAGTTAGCCCATCTCATGATGAGGTGAGTCACACTCAATGCTTTTGAAATTGATGCATGATAGAAACTTCCTGACAAAACTTCTTTCTGTAAACTGAATTACTAATTCCAGTTCTCCCACTTTTTCCCTAGGGTGACTCTGGTGGACCTATGGTCAGTTCAAATTCTAGAGACATCTGGTATCTTTATGGCATAGTGAGCTGGGGTGATGAATGTGCAGCACCAAATAAGCCAGGTGTCTATACTCGAGTGACTGCTTTTCGTAATTGGATTGAAGCCAAAACCGGTGTCTAAGAGAGAAGTGATTTGTAAAATGAAATGCCCAGTTACATGTGGACCATGCTCACCCCAAGCAACCTATATGTATTGATTATGCTATATCTATAAAGTTTCTGTCTTTGAGATTTCAACTTAAGGCCATGAATCTCGAGTGAATGTCAACGGTGTGAATGGTTTCCATCCATTCTTGCAGATTGTTGCATTTACTGCCTTTGTAAAGGTAGTGAACAATCAAAAAAGACAAAATAAACCAATTATTTTTGCTTTAAAAATAAATTTATATATATACAGAGATATGTGCTATAGAATTTTTTCCTATCTGAATGAGGTCAGAGCAAAGGGTACCATAAGGAATACTATTGTGCCGTAATAAGCGATGAAAGGGACAGTTTTAGAGAAACCCAGGAAGATTTGTATGAACTGATATAGACAGAAGTGAGCAGAATCAGGAGAACAATTTATACTGTAACAACAACATTGTAAAAACAAATAATTTTGAAAGACTTAAGAACTCTGATCAACACAATGACCAACTGTAATCTAGAAGACTGATGATGAAGAGTGCATCCACCTCATGACAGAGATGTGATGAATCAAATACGCAGAATGAGACACATTTTTGGACAAGACCAATGTGGGAATTTGTTTTGCCTGACTATGCATTTTTGTCATGAGGATTGTCTTTTTCTCTTTTCTTCCCAGTGGGAGAAGGGAGGTAGGAAGGAAAGAAAATAATGTTTGTTAATTGAAAATAAAGTTATTTTTTAAAAAAAGTATCATAAAACATGGATTTAGTATTAGAGGAGAAAACATAGGAGATAATAAAAGCAATATGTAGGTAAGCTTAAGTATTTATATTTCAGCAGATCCACCGTTTCATCAATGTAGACAATCCTTCCAAGCCATACTATCCTCTTACCCCCATCCTCTCGTAGCACATGTAGCCAATTTATTGGAGGCCTCCCTTTAGGTCTTTTAACATTCTGTGGAGCTCAATAAAGCACCCAGACTCTGCATATGTTATTTCTTACTCTTGCTGTGTAACTGGCCAACTTCCTCCTGCAATCATATATATATTGGTTGATAACTTCTCATGCAAGAGGAGCATGACATAGTGGATTCAGAATTGGTCTTGCAGTCAGGAAGACTATGGTTCAAGTCCTCTCTGTGACACAAACTAATTGTGAGACTTTGGGAAACTGACTTCTCAGTGCCCGGGCAGCTCTCTAAAACTATAAATTGCAGGAAGGTACCAATCTGCATTAGTAAAGGAATGACCAGGATTTGCTCACAATAATGAAATCATAGGTCTAGTCATATATGTGTGCAAACATATAAAAATGAGCATGTGTATATTTATGCACATATACATATATGTGTGTATTTATAATACAACATTGTATAAGTACACATATGCATACAACTGAATAGATGAAGTAAACCTTGTGTATGTATATACATGTTTAAATAAAAATGTACACAGCATCCCAAAAGTCTTAGTGCAGTTTTTAAGTTTAATAATTTCAAAAACTTAAATGCTGCAAACTTATTAACAACAACATTTGAAAAATTAATTATTTGAATTTGGAAAATATGTATTTCTTATTAAATTTCAATGTAACCACATCTTATACTATATATTACTCTAGCTGGTGTTCAAACTTTGTAAAAACTTTCATCAACATCTGCTTGGTGACTGAAAAGGTAATCCTAGGCTTAAGAACATCCAGAGAATGAGATTTTGATGCATACTTGACAGTTTTGATACAACTCCATAAGGAAAAGTCTGTTGTTGTAGCCTTGAATTCAGCTTGCCAGAGAACATAACAGACTTTTTCTTCAATGTTTGTCATCTCCAATCAGAAGAACTGAAGAAAAATAAAATAAAATTTTGATTATTAAAAATTTGCAAGCCTAAATAAGTATGAAAATTTAAATAATTAAATTTTCAAATCTTTTTTTTCAAGTTTATAGACTTTATGGTCCTGAAATTATTAAAGGTTAGAACTGCATTAAGACTTTTGGGTCATGTTGTGTACACACCATTTGCTTCTTCTATTCAGATGTATAAAAGTCATTGAATGTTAGGATGTATATTTACTTAGTTTAAAGGAATTTCTGAAATTCTTCCAGGGCAATATGATCTCTTAGGCATAAAAGATACTGAGCCCAGGACCTAAAAAACCCTAAAGACTTATGGAATTTGTTTTTCTTTAAAAAAAATTTGCATGTCAAAAATCATAACATCTTCCTAGATGTACATGTATGCATAGCTATGTTTATACACATAGTAACAATAGGATTCTTATTTATGTTAAAACTCTCTCTCTCTCTCTCTCTCCTTCTCTCTCTCTCTCTCTCTCTATATATATATATATAAACATATAGATATTTAATTAGATGTATTCTATGAAATTAACTAGTTCTTTAAGTTCAGTTTAAAATGCTATTATTATAACTGTGAAGAAGCAGTTTTGCATAATAGATAGAGGACTGTTCTTGGAATTAGGAAGAACTAGGTTCATGTTCTGTATCTGACACATACTAGAACTGGGATCCTGTTACATCACTCAATTTCTCAGTGCTTCAGCTCTCTAAGATCTTAAGTTCCAGTCAATTCCTGGTAGGGAGTTTCCACAAAGAAAATTCTCTAAACCAATAAAAACACAGGTCTGGATCCATTCCCACCCAATTATATTTTAACTATTAATATAAGTTTTTTTTAACAAATAATGTTGCTTGGGCCAATAATTTATTTGTTACATATTGCATCTGGCAGTCCTTGATAAGGGTGAGAATAGGAGAAATGATCCTTCCTTGGCCAACCAATTGTTATTCCTCCTGGCCATGGAATTAGATTTAGAACATGTGAGGACATCTGAGGGTTACATTGAATTGAAGGGAGACAGAGAAAAGGAGAGTGGAGTTGTTAGATTGTTTAAGCTCCTTTGAGGAAAGAATATCATGTACTTATACACCATCTCATTGTACCATGGGTACAATTACTAATTTATTTCTTTAACAGACAGCAAAATGTCTCTCATTCTTTAATCTTGGAAATTAGCAATCCAAGCAGGTCCAGAATTTTATAATTTTATAATGGAAGGTGATAATCTGGCGAATGATATTTTGGTGGGGGAACCAAAATTTGCCCTTCCTTTGTCATCTAGGTCATTCATTGGTTAGAGGGCTGAATTTGGATTTGGGAAGACCTGAGATAAATCAGACCTCAGACATTTATTAGCTGTTTGTCCCTGGGCAAGTCATTTAACCTCTGTCTGCCTCAGTTTCCTCATCTGTCAAATGGAAATAATAATAACACCTATTACATAGCATTGCTATGTGGATCAAATCAGATAATATATGTAAAGTGCCTTGAAAACCTTAATGTTATTTTTATTATTTGACCCATACCAATTAGATATGTCTGTATTACTTGATACATTTAGGAATTATGATGGATTCAGTATTTTCAAAAAGCAGGATGATAGAAATCATATTCTTTCAGTAATTAGTTTAAATCTCTTACATAAGTTTCTACTTTGCTTATAAAGCATCTGAAAAATACCTCAAGAATGTGGAAGAGCCTTCATTTGAAAATAAAAACATAAAACCCCTAATAAATGAATCATTCCCACTATTTCATTGAAATTGAGTTCTTAATATTATAGTAAGTACTATGATACGTTTCATTCTTAAGTCAAGTATAGTCAGTCAAACATTTATTAAGTACCTACTAAGTGCCAGACACTATGCTAAGCACTGGAGTGAGACTCCAGATGGTGCCTTTAATTTTCTAGGCCCTAATCCAAAAGGAACATCTAGATATCCTGGTGACATTACTCTTATTGCTGGAACACAATAGTTATATTAGGATCATGACAAGCCAAAAGAAAGCAGTTCCCCCTTAATGATAAAAAATAAATACACCCAAATGGCTATAAAACCATGCATACCCTTTGATCTAGCAATACCACTGCTAGGTCTGTATCCCATAGAAGATAAAAATATGAAAAGGGAAAGGAACTATATATACAAAAATATTTACAGCAATTCTTTTCTGGTGGCAAAGAATTGGAAATTGAGGGGATACCCATCAATTGGGGAATGGTTGACCAAATTCTTATATGTGATTATAATGGAATACTTTTGTGCTATAAGAAATGACAAGCAGAATGCTCTCAGAAAAACCTGGAAAGACTTACATGAGCTGATGCAAAGTGAAATGCACTGTATGCAAAGTAACAGCAATATTGTAAAATGATCAGCTGTAAACGACTTAGCTATTCTCAGCAATACAATGATCCAAGACAACTCTGAAGGACTTAGGATGAAAAATGCTATCCATCCCCAGAGGAAGAAATGATGGTGTCTGAATACAGATTGAAGCATACTTTTTTTTACTTTCAAAAAAATGTGTTATTTTAACAATGAACCCATGTGTATTACTATTACCACCATCACAATCAATATCACCATCATCACTGCTAATATTAAGTCTGATAGCATATTACTTAGGAAGGTTAGATCCCAAACTGAAAGAATATTTCTGCCATATGTAAATCAGAGAATTCTTTTTGTAGTGACTTAAAAGAATTACTATCGAGGAGAAATTTCAGCAATACCTTTCATCATTTGACAATTAGTATAAATCTTTACCCTTACATAAATGATTTTTTTTGCCTTTTTTTATCACAAGATTATTCATTTGAAAAGGACCTTAATAGGGTAGTGTACCTTACATATCTTAAGAGTAGATAGAAGGTAATCTCAGAGAGGAAGACATTAGCAGCTGGAGGAAAAGGGTCTCCTGCAGAGGTGGAATTGGAAGCCAGGGAAAGCAAAATAGGGAGGTGTGGTGTAAGAGAATTCCAGGCATGGAGAACACCTAGTGCAAAGGTTGGTATGCAAACAGGCCAGGGTGTGTCATGTGGAAGGAATAGCTGTATGGAACATAAAGAGATGTCAGTTAACTTGATTTGACAGCACTATTGGAGCACCTCATGGGCTTGATTCAGACAAGCCTCGGCGGAGTTTTTTAATTCCTTATCTGGCAGGACTTATGGTAAGATGAGACTGAGGAAGGGTGACGAGATAGTTAAGGGGGAGGCTGTGGGTTCAAAGTGCCCAATTAAAGAATCATAGCTTCCAGTCAGGGCATGATGACCAGGGCAGCTCTTACTTTACAAAAAATAGCAGGGATCCTGATGAATGATAGGGCCACAATGGAACTAAGTCCACAGGTAAATAACAAGTCTGGTTTTACGTGCCCCAGAAATTAGTGTATGCATA